GAGCGAGCTCTTAACCAACTGAGCCACTCGGCCGGCCCTTGAAGACTTTTTTTGTTCAATAAAAACAGAAAAACTTTCAATAAAAACTTAAAGAGAAAATAAAAGTGTGTTCAGACCATGCAGAGGTCCAGGGAAGAAGGAGATGAGGATTTAAAAAATTAAGCAATCAGGTGAAAAAGTCAGCTATCACAACGTACTTTCTCTGACCCCACTCCCTCTCTGACAGCTATGGCAGATGCTTTCAGTTGTCATTTTATCCACAAGTGTCCCTGCAAGCAGGGGAGGCTAGTCATTGCTTTCCTATTTGATGCACAGAAAGGTGGCAGCCCTGAGCAGATCAATGCCTAAATTAAAGCCTCACAGGCAGTTAGAGGTGGATGCAGGACCAGAAACTGGCCTGCTAATTTCTGCTCCTGAGCTCTGTGCACCAGGGCCTGCTGCTCCTGTGAGTCAGGCCTCCTGACCACACTGAGGCTAGGCTCCAAGCAGTGAATGCTTTGACTCTGTGTCCCTAATTTATAGTGATGGCAAGGATGGAGATGGCTTCCTAATTTATTTCACAGTGGAACTGACAAAGCAGCTATCCAGTCAGTCATCACTGTATACTTCCCTGGAAGCAAATGTCAAGGCATGCAACTACAGGACATAAAGAAGCAATTTTAAACAATCACTTCTCCCCCTTCTAAAAGCCCAATTACTGACTGTATTGGACAAAGCCTGATGGCATTTGAGAGCAGACTAAACCAAGGGAAGAGTGAAACACACAACGCCTGGGGTCCTGTCTGCAAAGACTATTTCTAAACAAGTGAGTAGAGCCACACTTCTCATCTTTCCATCTTTTAAACAAGATTCAAATTGTGGTTTAGAATGTTTTGAGTTTAGTACTTTTTGTTCCAAGCTGAGTCTTCTTAAAAAAATCTGAATATTAAGAATGAATCTGTAAGCATGGGTTTGAGGAACAGATGGAGACAGAACTGGTGGATGTCTAGCAGGCAATTTACGGCTGGATCTTACCTTTGTGGGGGTCATCAGAGGGGATTACAGAAGTCTTCTCCCTCTGCAATGCCCCCATTTCTCTACTTTTTCCTCAAGATAGCTGCCCTATCAGCAAAATGCAGACTTCTAAGGGGCTCTAGGGACTATTTTGGCCCCCAGACCCAGATATTTATAATAAATTGGATACAGACTCTAGCTTTACAGTTCTTTCCAATACCTTCCCCCAAATCTGAATAATCGTCCCTACTCAACTAAAATCTGTTTTCTCTCAACTCACAATCTATTTCTTTGAGTACATTTCCCCTGAAATTGTATTCTTCTCTGAATCAAAGAGGACACCCTGCCCTACACCCTGACCCCAACATCTAATCTTTTTGTTTCCTATTTTCTATTTCTCTCCTGTAAGAACTCTTCTCTCCCTCTGACTGGTGTCCTGGCTCTAGTTCCTTATCTCTTTGCCAAACTCTGAACACTTGGCACCTTCACTTCCCCGTGCCTGGCTGTAACGGCATCTTTGCTATATAATGCGTACCACGTGCAAAAGTGCTTGGAAGACAGAAATATTCATGGTGTAACCAAGACATGGCAAGCTGTATGTGACAATAGCCTCCCCTTATCTGCGTTTTTGCTTTCTATAGCTTCAGTTACTCACAGCCAACTGTGGTCCGAAAATATTAAGTGGAAAAATTCTAGAAATAAACAGTTAATAAATTTTAAATTGCGTACCATTCTGAGCAGTATGATGAAATCTCTTGCAGTCTCACTCCATCCTACCCCTGATGTAAATCATCCCTTTGTCCAGCCTATCCATGTTGGACACTCTACCCTCCCATTAGTTACTTAGTAGCCATCTCAGTTATCGGATCCACTCACAGTGCTTGTGTTCAAGTCACCCTTATTTTCCTTCATAATGGCTCCAAAGCACAACAGTAGTGATGCTGGCAATTCAGATACACAAAAGAGAAGCCATAAAGTGCTTCCTTTAAGTGAAAAAGTGAAAGTTCTCAACTTAATAAGGCATTTTGTCATCTCACATCATCTCACATCATGAGTACAGTACAATAAGATATTTTGAGAGAGCGACCACATTCACATAACTTTTAATACAGTATATTATTTTAACTGTTCTATTTTATTATTAGTTATTATTGTTTAGCTCTTGCTATGCCTAATTTATAAATTAAAGTTTATCATAGGTATATACTCGTATGTGTAGGAAAAAACATAGTATATATAGAGTTCAGTACTGTCCTCAGTTTCTGGCCTCCATGGGGGTCTTGGAACATATTCCCCACAGATAAACAGGGACTACTGCATTTTAACTTTTGAGGTTGCTCCAGACTGCCTTGAAGAACCAGAGACAGCCATTTTCCCAGACTGCATTCCAACCTAGCGCCATTTACGTAAGATGTACACTGACAGTAATAACAGCCACTTAGAAGTAATTGTCTCAGTGTGAATTATACATTTCCTTATAGCCTTGAATTGACAGAGTTCCAAAACAATACAATCTGGTATTTGGTTTCCTAGACCCACAGGTCTGCTTTTCAAAGCCTCAACCTGACAGAGACTGAAACCAAATATTTCAACCTCCAATTTACTTCTTTTGAGGTAAAGGTCAGCCTCCTTTCTATATCTGTCTGCCACGATGTTTGACCAAACCAAAAGGCTTATGCCGCCCACCCCCATTCCTGCTAATTCCTGCTAATTTTGGGCTGTGCCCAAAGTGAAGCCATCAGTGTTAGTGCCCTGATCCTTCATGAGATCCCCATTGTTTTAGCAGAAGAGACGCAGATACATTCCCTACCTTCAATGCGAGTCAGTTTTTTCCTTTACTTTCAGAGCAGTTTGACCAAAGGAACGATCTCATTCTCAGGGTTCAGCTCAGTTGGGAGATTTGTGATTTCATGCTTCCAGCGTATGCTTTCATTATTCCGTGAACTTGCTCTTCATATCATCTGTGTTGTCGGCTCATTGCAACATTGCTGCCCCTCCAAAAAGTTCTTTCTTTCCTACACGTATCTCAACAGAGGTCGGCATTCGGGTACAGACTTGCAGTCTTCTCTTCTCTGGTATCATCTCAGTTACCCGTTACAAGGCAAGGGCAGTGGCCAGCTGCTTTTACAATAATTTAGGTGCTTAAATATTTAGGAAAATTTTGCACCCAAATAAGAAACTGTGATTCCAAAACTCCAATCAGCAGAATGTACCAGGCAAAAATCATCTAGGCACTGAGGGCTTGGGGAGCTTTTTACTATAGAAGAAGCAAACAAAGAAAAAATAGAAGATAAGGAGGAGGAAGGAAGAGAGTGGAAGAAAGAGGAGGAAGACAACAAGGCAAAGGGGAAAAAGAAATTGAGCCCATGGATATCATGCTAAGCATAAATATCGTACTGTACCAAAACACCCACCGAGAAAGCGAAAGAGATTTCTTTTTTCCCCTGCATCGGGGCTCACCTCTCACTATACAGGGCCCTCTCCCAGGAATTGTAAGTAGCAGCTCTCTGTGGTCAATAACAGATAATTCCAGATCAAAAGAAGGGTTCTGAAACCAAGATGTTGTTTTTAGCTCAATGGTTCTCCAATGGAATCCGGGGATCTCTAGTGGATCTGCAAAGATTCTTCCAATTATTTTGTGGGCGGGGTCAAAATGCAAGGCGCAGAAGTGTATTGGGTGACTTTTTTTTTTCCCCTCTTTGAAACATATTTTCCACTGCGGATTTCAATCAAAACTTAAAAGCACCAAAGCAAACATGTTGCAGAGGAGCTACATATAATCACAGGGATTCAGCAAAAACACCTCAAAGGTGTTTTCTGGTTTCCTGGCTTGTTTATTTAATCTAGTAAATAGGTATAAATAGAGCAGACTCTTTTGTTCTGCTCAAGTAGTTTAAAGAATAAAAATCATGAGACTCATCAGGCCAGATGAAAAGATGACTCTTGCAAAACATGCCTTTTTGAGAAGAGGAAAGTCAGGTTCTTTCTTACCCTGAATTTCCCATTTCCCAGTGTCATTTACTTCCTCTCTCCCTGCGTTGCTTTCTAGCTCAGTGCCCACAGCTCTGAGGTCAGAAGCAGCCATTGCCAAGAAGCAGCTTTCTCTGCTGCCACAGCTGTCTTTACTCAGGTTTCTCTTCCAGGGAGCAGGAGGAGCTCAGGTGTAGAGTCAAGGGGGTGTCAAGTGCAGCTGCAGTTTAGGAAGACCTGTTTTTCCTCATCCCAGTTCCACAGCAAGAGTTAATTTAACCTCAGGAAAGCCTGTGCTGCTGGAGAGGAGTTTTATGAGTTATCTAATGACAGGATTGGTAGCCACATAGCACCACAAAGCTGCCAAGCCATCTAGGTTGCTCAGATGCTATGAGATAAAATGTACTTATGGCTAGGTCTGCCTTTCCCTTTCTACCAGAGTGATGTGCACATTCAGCTATTTTTTGGACTAATTTGCACAGCCACAATTCCTTAGAAGAATTTCAAAACAGATGGGCTGTCTACCCTGCAGGTAAACAGTGTGGAAGCTATAAATTAAAATGAACTTTGAGGCCTCTAACTGGATTTTGCTGATGTACTTGCAGCCCCATTTACCTATCCGGATAATTCTGTCATGTGTGCAAAGTGCTCTCTGATAATTCAGGTACCTCCCTGAATTATCCAGATGCTGTTAGCCCTCTTGATTTTTTTGGTGCAGATCCACCCAAGAATAAAGGAAGCAAAGTTCTTCCTACCTTGCTTGATTGATAAGATGAGAACAACTTGTTCACTCTTTGAATGTGATTGAAAAAAAAAAAAAGAAAAACAAAAAACCAGTCCTAACATGTGGATGAAATTATTACATACTTCACCAGGACTCCCTGGTTCTTGAATGTTTCAGCTAATGATTCCCTCTTCCAAAGTCTACAGAGGCTCAACGACTCAGCCTGTCGGGGGATAATACTTTGCTACCAGCAACTGCAAGTTGGTTTAAATAGGTTCTCAAGAGGCTACAGCTGTGACCAAACCCCTGGCAGGGGAAGGTGGGACAGCACATGCCACGTGAGAATGCTCACATGTTTCCGCGTGGATCCCCAGGGTATTTGCCCTTCTGGAGAAACCAGAGGTTCTCTACTGTATTGCATGGTATCCTAGTCCTAGAATCTGCTTCATGCAGGTGAAGCCCATGAGCCCGCTCATGTCTTTAGGAGAAGATCTATGTTTGATTCCTATTATGGCTAATGTTTCTGGATCCTTAAGGTATAGTAGAAAGACGACGAGAGTATCAGAAGACCTGGGGTCAGCTCCAACTGCCACTTACAAGCTTTGGGATTTTAAGCTAATTTATTTGTCTTCCTGAGCTTCAGGTATTTTTTTTTTATCAGTAATGTGGGTAAATAATATCTTCAGTGGAGATCCTGGGGAACACACTGAGATAATAGTATGTAAAGTGCCTGGTGGGGCTCCATGTACAGGAACTGCATATAAGTATGGGGGAGCACATTGTGGCAAAGGAGGACTCTGCCTTGAAAGAGGAAGACCCCACGCTTACAATGGGAGTCCAGGGAAGGGGTTCAATCATTGCCAAGTATCCCTGTCTTACCGCAACTTTTTGTTTCTTCTTAAGGTACAATTCAGCGGAAAAGACACTGAATTGGAAGTTAGGAAGTCAGAATCTTAGTCCTGATTCTGGTAACAACAGAGCTCGATAAGTCTGGGCAAGTCATTGAATCACTTTATGTCTGTTTCCTCACCTATATCATAGGGATACTCACACTTTCCCTTTCCCAAGCATAGTATTATTGTAAAGCTTAAATAATATGGGGTCTATACAAAAATGTAACTTATTTTGGTGAAAAACTTCAAAACAATCCCACCAATCTAGCACTCTAACAAGCTGTGTGAAACTTAATTTAATCCTGTTTCTGTGGTGGACAAGAATGAACTATAACTGGCAATGCCCCCTACTGACCTTACCCACATGGTGAGTCCCTTGGATTCTGTGGATAGCCCTGGAAAGGCAGTAAGAAATAACATCAGGAGATGAGAAAGGCTTGGCTCCAGCTTTTCTAAATCTCCTGTAGTGCATGGTTGAAGCTTCTAGAACTAGTGCCATGTCTTTGATGGATAGAATTGAGGGGCCTGTTTAGAGTGAAAGAGCTTCAGGAGCTTGCTCCCTGCTCCAACCTTAGCCTTTAGTAAAGCAAGCTAGAGGGGATCTGGAAGGCAGAAAGGGGGTCCTCCTTGCCACTTTGGGAAGCTTCACACAAAGTCCCACCCTCAAATCACTGATCACCCCACAACCTTTTAAACATTCGCTTTCAACAGTAGTAGAGAAGGAGAGCCATCCTTTTTATCAGACTTTTTGTTTCCCTTCCAATCCTAAAAAATACCTGTAGAAGAAAGTTAGAAAATACCTGTAGAAGAAAGTTTGGAAAGTTTTATTTTTTGCTTTTGCTTTTTCTTCCATGACTCAGCATGTTTTAGACCTGTTCCGGGTATACAGTTCAGGGGAGAGGTGTATGGAGCAGGCTTTCAACTCTGCGGCTCCAAGGCTCTACCTACTTGTCACAGTAAAGGGCTACCTGGAATGTTCCTCCCATTTATGGGTCATCCTGGGCCCTAAAGCAAAGGCATTTGTCCCAAACGCTTCTGCATGGACTCATGGACGCTTCTGTATGGACATGGGGACGTGTGGTTATAGATCTTTTCCCACAAATGCTGCCTTTTTTTTTTTAAAGATTTTATTGGGGAATTGGGGAAGGGGAACAGTGTTGGGGAATTGGGGAAGGGGAACAGCCAAGTTGTTGTCCTTCAATCTTTGTTGTGGAGGGCGCAGCAAGCTCAGCTCCAAGTCCAGTCGCCATCCAGCTGCCCATAGGCAGCTCGCAGCCGCTCATCTCCAGGTGCCATGTTCAATCTTAGCTGCAGGTGGGCATAGCCCACCATCCCATGTGGGAGTCAAACTGGCAACCTTGTTGTTGGGAGCATGTGCTCTCACCAGCTGAGCCATCCTGCCACCTGCTGGCAGCTCAGCCCAGGTGCAGCTCACTGGCCTATGTGGGAATTGAATTCATGACGCTGTTGCTCAGAGCTCACGCTCTTAACCAATTGAGCCACTTGTCCGGCCCATAAATGCTGCCTTTTGCATGGAGCCACTGAAGTGATAGTTTGGGGTAAGGACGGCAGGGAGGCAGTGCATAGACAGTGAGAACTAGGAGTCAACCTTTCCTCAGGTGCCTTGGCCTTGGTCTGCAGAGCAGAAGACACTGCTGGCTATCCCAGTTGCAGGCATATAGAACCTTCTCCCCAATTTGTCCATAAACAATACCTACTCACATAGTCATAAGGACAGGAACACACTGGAACTAACACAAGCCCTGGCATTTAAAGTCCCCAAGCAGATTCAACTTTAGGTTTGCCACACTGGGTCCATGTAGTCTATCCTTTTAGAAGGGGTAATTACTATGAATTACTTTTTAATGCTTGTGGAGATTCTACCTCAGGAACAACTTGGAAAAATAAAAAGCCCCTTCTGAGAGAAGTTGTATCTATTTATATCCACAGTAAACAAGTAGATAAAGGGCTGCTTGCTTAATATTCCTAAGATGTGGGGTATGTCAGTTCATTAGCGAAAAGAGTAATAGGGACAGTTTTCATTTTGGGGGCATCTGGTCAGGAGGCCCTTAAAGGGACATAATGTTCCAGGGAGTAGGTAGTCTCACTCTTCTGGCCTTTATTGTTGGAACTTCCACCAGTCTGGGCCAGAGGAGAGTCCAAGTTGGCCAGGAGTCCAAGAACAGAAGACCCCTTAGGCAGGAAGGCTGTACTTGTGAGTATAGGGCTGCCAGGATTGGGGTAAGTGCATCCCTCATACCCTAAAAAACTTGTCCCCTGTTTGGACCTCCTTCTTCTAATTTTTTAGGCCCTGTGATCTTCACTACAAAGCAAACCATATGATTTTGATTCTGGCTCCTGGCTTCCTGAGAGTGTTTCGTGTCTCCAGTGGCAGGAAGCCGTCCAGCTTCTTTAAGCAGCTGCTCTGGCATCTAATAGAGGAAGGCAGCTCTTCTGGACTCTCTCACCAGCTGGGCATGGCAGCCCAGTGGAGGGCAATGCTCAGTGGAAGAAGGGCAACAAGAATGACTATAGGGTGGGAAGAAACTCCTGGGATTCTCAGAGGTGGACTCCAGGCCCAGGCACCCGTGGGTGTCTGTCCAGAGAATTGGCTTTTCCCCCTCCATTCTACCCCTAGACTTCTGAGTCTTCCTGTGAGATGATCCTTCC